CCCCTAATCTCCTATAATTAGCATCCGCTGTTGCTTCTTGCTCTAACCTCTCTTTACTATGATAGTTATAAAATAGTTGTTTTATGGTCCACATTTACCAACTGGCATTCTCCCTTCCCCTGAATTCGTTATTTATTAACCAGTGCTCATGGATTCTTATTTTGTTATTGTTTCATTTTCATTGTATGCTTATTTATTTTGTATTTTTGTGTTTGTGTATGCCTCGGGGGGGGCAGGGTGTGAAGGTCAGAAGACAATTTTCTGGAGTCAGTTTTTCCTTCTACCATGTGGGTTCTGGTATCAAACTCATTGTCATCCAGTTCCTTTATCCAGAGCCATCTCACCAGCGTGCCTCTTTTTCTTTAGATATAGAGCCTTGTAATGTAGCCCAAGCTGGCCTCAAATTCATAAATCCTGACTCCACCTCCCTGCTGCTGGAATTACAGGTGTGTACCACCACACCCAGACAGATTATTCTTAATTGTTTTACTATAGGCTTATAGATTCCTATTTTCCGATGATTCATATTTTGTTCCTATCCTATTTTGATGCTAACATGGTTCGAGATTCAACCAGTGCAAGCCCCTTGAAGCTGGCTTCTATGTGTGTTGTTTTATGTACTCTTTTATCATTGTTTAATCATGCATAACTTTAATTGTAAAATAAAAATGGAAAAGGAAAAATCCTTACTTTAAAAGTTTCACTATAGCTGGGCATGGTGGCGCATGCCTGCAGTCCCAGCACTTGGGAGGCAGAGGCAGGCAAATCTCTGCGAGTTCAAGGCCACCTTGGTCTACATAGTGAGTTCCAGGACAGCTAGCAGGAGACCCTGCTTCAAAAAGACAAAAAAAAAAAAAAAGTTTCACTATGAATTGTATATATTCAACAGAAGACAAAAGGAAATTTTATAACCTATAAAATTTCTCTTTCTTTTTGCAGATTAAAAAAAAGTCAGAAAATGACTTTGTATGTAAACAATCTACTGAAAACAGATTTATAAACACCATGCATTAGTTAAAATGGAATGATCGGATCAAACTAAAAGAATCAAAGAAGCTGACCTTATTTCTAAGTGGATAATAACAAACATTTCCGGGGCTGGAGAGATGGCTCAGCAGTTAAGAGCACTGGTTGTTCTTGCAGAAGACCTGGGTTCGAATCCCAGCACCTACATGGCAGCTAACAACTGTCCTAGCTCCAGTTCCAGGGGATCCAACAATCTCTTCTGCCCTCCTCAGGCATTGCACGACACGGGCACACTTACCTACATGCAGGCAATATACACATACACATAAAATAAAAACAATAAAATATTTTTTTAAAAAAATATTTCCATGAGTCTACATCATGATGGCAGCTAAAGGCAACAATTCCAAACTCTGAAAAAAACCATATGCCAACCATACGTGCATGTGACCTGTATTGGTTTCCACATGTTTATTATCCTCCACAGAGTCTATATCCATTCTCTAATGCAGGAGTTGCATGCTCTAGAGACGAGCACAGCAAATTAAGAATCAAAAATCCCATGTTCCTCATTATTGTAAATTGACCATATGCCTTTGTACAGCTTAGGAAGTAACCCCAGCTGCAGAATAGCCAACTGCAGTGTGGCCTTAGCCCTCCTAAGTACTCTTATCATTTTTAAAGATTCTTTTTAAAAGAAATTAAATTACATTTAGTGCATGTGTATGTGTGTTCATGCATGTGTGCATGTGTATGTGTGTTCATGCATGTGTGCATGTGTATGTGTGTTCATGCATGTGTGTATGTACTTGCACATGTGTGAAGGTCAGAGGACAACTTGCAGAAGAATCGGTTCTCCTACCACCATGTGATTCCTGGGGATCAAACTCAAGTCATCAGACTTGGTGACAAGTGTCTTTACTTATTCAACCATCAGCAGCCCAATCTGTCAGTTTATTATTTTTATTTATTTCTATTATTGTTAGGGCTGTTTGCTTGTTTTGGGTTTTGAGACAGAGTCTTCCTATAACCAACCCCAGCTGGCCTGGAACTCACTATGTAGACCAAGTTGGCCTGGATATCACAGAGATCTGCCTGCCTCTGCCTCCTAAGTACTGGAAAAAAAGTGTGTCACCACATACAGCTTAAAAAAATATTTTTAAGATTTATTTTTACTATGTGTGCTTGAATATGTCTGTCTATGTGTGGGCATGTGTACATACCCTTGGATGCCAGGGTATCGCTGGAGTCCCAGACAGTTCTGAGCCACCTGATGTAGGTGCTGGGAAGTGAACTGGGATTCTCTGCAAGAGAAGTTTGCACTCTTAATCACTCAGTCATTTCTCCAGCCCCCATTTTTAAAGTGTACTTTTGCTAAATTACCTAGGCTATCTCCAAACTCCTGGACTCTAGTTGACCCTTCTGCCTTACTTAACCTCTTGAATAGCTAGGAATACAGACACACCACTGAACCTAGCTAAGAACATTTTTTTTTCTGGTCTTTTTGAAACAGGGTCTCCCTGCAGCCCAGCTGGCCTGGAACTCACTATGTAGACCAGGCTGGCCTTGAACTCACAGAGCTCCATCTGTCTCTGCCTCTCGAGTGCTGGGATTAAAGGCGTGCACCACCACGCCTGGTCTGCTAAGAACATTTTTATAGTGAAATAAAACATAGATTTTATTGTCTTTGATACTGCTTACTATGTTCATCCAGAGGCATGTCCAGCCTTTTGATATTGTGGCATGGACATTGTCATCTGTAAAGTTTACTCTCGACACCACACAAATGAGTTTCTAGAAAATCTCATACTGTTTTAAGAGCGCTTATGATTTTGTATTGGGCTGCATTCATAGCTGTTCTTGGTGCAGGTGGCCCACAGGCTGACAACTAGACATACTGGAGCCAGTAGAGAATACTGGTTAAGTGAATTGACACCGGGGCAAACTGTGGAGTTTTCATCTTAATTTTGCCTTTTCTCAGCTCTGTGATTCCTGGTTCCACATCTGGAGAATGAGCTAATTGCACTTTCATTGTAGGATAGTTAGTTGTTATTAAATGAATAACTGAATGTTCAGTATTCACAACAATGGCACAAAGAAAGTGATAGCTGGTGAGTTAACTTTCATTTATAATATATATATATATATTTTTTTTTTTTAGAGACAGGGTCTCCTTCTCAAAAGATGGGACCGAAGAGATGGCTCTTGCAGAGGATTTGAGGTCAGTGCCCAGCTCCCATGCCTGGTGGCTCACAATCACCCGAAACTCCAGCTCCAGAGGATTTGATGACTCTGTCTGGACTCTGCTGATATCTTACTCATCCATACACACACACACACACACACACACACACACACACAGAGTCCAGGTTATCCTCTCTAAGGATGAAAATCCAGCTAAGCTCAGGTCTTAAGAGGAAGTCACCTTATCTAGTCCCACTTGTGCTGCTAAAAAGTCTGCAGCTACATGAGGAAGCAAAGGTAATTATCTGAAGAACCACCCAACTGAAAACTCCATATTGCTTATACAAGATAACCTCTTTTTTATAGTGTTTAGAGATAGAGCCCAGGGTATATGAGGCATGCTAGGCAAGTATTCTCACAACTTAATCATCAACACTTGGCTGTTTTTATTTTTTTATTTTTATTTTTTGTTGACACAGGGTCTCTCCATGTAGGCCAGGCTGGCCTTGAATTCTTAGAGAATTCTGTCTGCCTCTGCCTGTGGATTGCTGGAGTTAAAGGGGAGCACCAAGAACCCTGGCTAGTTTTGTTTTTTAAGATTTTATTTATGTGGATGTGTGTGTCTGTGTGAGTGTGTGCATGTGTGTGAGGGTCCCCGTGGAGACCAGAAGAAATCATCAGATACCCTGGAGTTACAGGTGGTTGTGAGTTACCGCATGTGGTGCTAGGAACTAACCTGGGTCCCTGTGGAAGAGCATCTAAGTGGTCTTAATCATGAGCCAGCTCTCCAACCCAAACCTTTGGTTTTTTGACAGGATCTCACTAATGTAACTCAAGTTGGTCTTAAACTCATTGCCCAGCCCAGGCCAGTCTCGGATGGGCAGATCCTCCTGCCTCTGCTTCCAGAATGCTAGGATTACATGCTTGCACCCCCAAGCAGTCTTTTTTAAAAAACTTTTTATTGAGCTTTGGTATATTTTATACAACAGTTCTTAGGCAAATTTAGACCCCCTCCCCCAACCAAGTCCCCACCCCATCAAGTATTCTTACATAGGCTAATTAATATTTCCCTTTATATCTTGCTTTTTGTTTGTAAACAAAAAATATTACTTTATGTGTACGACTGTATTGCCTGCATGTATGAGAGTGCACCCGTGTAGTGCAATGCCGGAGGTCAGAAGAGGTCGCCAGATTCCCCTGGAACTGGAGTTAAGGACGGTTCTTAGCCACCAGGTGGGTGATGGGAATCAAACCAGGGTCCTCTGCAAGAGCAGTCAGTGCTCTTAACCACTGCACCATCTCTCCAGCCCCGCTCATTTACTTTCTAATATTAAAATATTTGGCCGGGCGTGGTGGCCCACGCCTTTAATCCCAGCACTCCGGAGGCAGAAGCAGGCGGATCTCCGTGAGTTCAAGGCGGGCCTGGTCTACATAGTTCCAGGACAGCTGGGGCTACAGGGAGACCCTGTCTCAAAAAAGACCAAAAAAAAAAAGGATTATTTGATAGACTTGGAAATTGTTTTGGTTTAGGGAGGGTGGAATTTCCCTCTCTGGTGTTCCCCTCCAGTCTGCACTGGAAGCAGGGGAAGTAGTCTTTGGGGTTATTCGGTAATTGCTGAAGGTTTGTGGGCCAGGAGCAAAGGTGAGGGAAGACTGTGTGACTGCCTTTGTGAAGGGACTGAGAGCAGGCTGGTATATCAAGGTTTGGGCGAAGGGATGCAGGGCTGGGAAGAGGACCTTTGGGTGCGGGCTCCGCTCCCGGGCAATCTCCTCCGCGCCCACCAGAAGGCGCCGCGGCACCCGCCTTCCCGGCCAGAGTCTGAGCCTCTGCCGCATCCAGCCGAGGAGCAGAGCGCCGGCGCTGCGGTGTGGAAGCGGGCGGGAGCCGGAGCCCTCCGCTCCCTGCCGGGGGGCCGCGGTGCCAGGAATCCCGGCTTTGTTCTCCGGGCTGGGGTGCGGCGGGGTCTTAACTCCATTTTCCCCGGCAGGAAACGTCTAGAACCACCCCCACGCTGAGGTCTACAAAGCCCTCTGAGCCCAAGGGCGCTCTCCGGAGGCAGGAGGATCCCCCACACGCCCAGGCTTACGCCCAGCTCCCGCATCTGGCCGCCCCCGGCCCCATGAGGACCCCAGGGCTGGGGCTGGGAGCCCGGCGCAGCCCAGACCGAAATCTTGCGGCGGCCTCAGAGCGTGAGCGTTAGACAGGTCAGTGCCCCGGCGCGACGAGCGGCCGAGGTGCAGGCGGGAGGAAGCGCACCGAGACCATCCGAGGCGTTCTCTCGGCCGGGGCACCCCCAGCCACGCAGTCGTGCTTCTGCCATTTTCCTCGCAGGCCAGGTGTAGAGCCACCCCTCCGCAGCCCACCCGGGCCCAGGTGATGCTTGCCCTCCAGCGGGGTGGGGGCGGGGGCGCGCGGAAGGCCACGGCTCTAATAAAGCAGCGTTTTGCTACTCGCACCACTGCATCCAAATCCCCGCATCCAAGCCACCGCATCCGAAGGGCTCTTATGATGCCAGGCCTCGGGCGTGCGAGAAAACCGCGATATGGGGAAGAGAGAGAAAGAGAGAGAGAGAGAGAGAGAGAGAGAGAGAGAGAGAGGCCGAGGGACCCTGAAGCCTGGGAAATGAGGGGGGGGGGCCCGAGAAAAAGACTCTAGGGGGGGGAAGAGGGGTACCGAGAAAACGACTCTAGGGGCGATCCTAGCGCCACATGTGCAGCTGACAGCACCCTCGGGAACCAGTCGGAGCCTACGAGGTCGCCCGGGTCTAGGGCCCCAGCCCTCACCTTCCCTCCGCCCTCTTTCTCACCCACCGTCCTACCCTCATCTCAGGATGCAGCTGGGCCGCCGGGCCCTCTACGCGCTAGTCCTGCTGCTCGCCTGCGCCTCGCTTGGGCTCCTGTACGCCAGCACCCGAGACGCGCAAGGGCTCCCGAAACCCCTGGGGTTGTGGTCGCCTCCTCAAGGTCCCCCCAGGTCCGAGCTGCCAGATCTTGCCCCTGAACCCCGCTACGCACACATCCCCGTCAGGATCAAGGAGCAAGTGGTGAGGTGAGGGCTGACAGCGGCGGTGGCAGGCGCAGAGCGTTCTGGGGGGGGTGGCCTGATTGCTTTTGTTTCCTCCACTGCTGGACTTCGATGCCTTGGGTGAAGTGGGAGATGAAGAGGGTTCCTTGGGCTGGGGGAAAATCTGTTCTCTCCCATCTCCTCCACTCCTCCATGGACACTGGGAAGTGGGAGGATGTACAGGCAGGGGAGGACCCAGAGACACTCCCTACCATCCTGATTAAGACTTGAGATTCCAGAGGGGTTCCTGAATGGTGACTAGGAAGACATCCTAGTAATTGGCCCTCTCTACACGTCCATCAAGTCCAGATTTAGGGATAGGCCCTCCCATCTGTGGTCCCCTCTTGGGGGCTATTTGAACAACTGTTTTAGAAGACAGATCCTAGATGGGCAGAGTCTAGGGGTCAAAGTGTGAAGTGCTGTGTGCTTTGTGAGATGAATGGAGCTGTGCACCTGAGCTCTGAAGACTCCTGTCCCCACTTCAGGCTGTTGACTCAGAACAACTGCAGTTGTGAGTCCAGTGGGGGGCGCCTCACCCTCCCCTTCCAGAGACAGGTTCGAGCCACTGACCTCACCAAAGCCTTTGACCCAGAGGAACTGAGAGCTGTCTCTGCCACCAGGGAGCAGGAATTCCAAGCGTTCCTTTCAAGGTACCAGTGAGAAAGAAGGCTACCTCTGTCCAGGGAGGGTCGTGGTGCTCTGTTAGTAGACCTGTGAAGAGAGTCCCTCTCCTGACTTCTTTGTGCTCCCCTCCTCTACTGCAGGAGCCAATCCCTGGCTGACCAGCTGCTCATAGCCCCTGCCAACTCCCCCCTACAGTATCCCCTACAGGGTGTGGAGGTTCAGCCCCTCAGAAGCATATTGGTGCCAGGTAGGAAAGGGAAGTCCTAGGGGATGGATGACTCAGGCCAGTGTGAGGTTGGCATAGCTGGAAGTTGGGTGGAGAAGAATGAAGAAAGAATGGAATGAAATATGAAAATTCCTGACAAAGGGAGCTTAAGATGTTGGAGGTGAGGGCAGAAGGGACCCTAGAGTTGTCAAGAATTGAAGAAAACTGGGGAGGTTTGTGGAGAGGCATCTCTTCTTTGCTAGCTGACCAGAGGTGGACAGATAGGGCAGACCATAGAAGAAATATTTCTTTAATGGGAAGGAGTCAAAAAGCAACCACTCTTGAATATATTCATAGTTAGGCAAAGCTGAGGACTCAGCTGAAAAAATGGGTATAAAGTTCTGTGATGCATGTGATGCAAAAGGGAGAGAAAGTGAGGAAAAATTCAGGGCTGTCTATGTGACTCTGCTCCCCACCCCATCTTCCTCCCAGGGCTAAGCCTGCAGGAAGCATCTATTCAAGAGGTATACAAGGTGAGAGAAAACAGAGCAAGGAGGCCAGGTGGGCATGGAGAATGCTGGGAGGGACACAAGTCCACCAAAAGGGATGGAAGACTCAAAAAGGCAAGAGGTGGGTCTGGGGTCTAACCCTGCTCTCTCCAATCCCCTCTGCCAGGTGAACCTGACTGCTTCCCTAGGCACCTGGGATGTGGCAGGGGAAGTGGAAGGAGTGACTCTTACTGGAGAGGGGCAGCCAGATCTCAGCCTTGCCAGCCCAGGACTGGATAAACTCAACCGGCAGCTGCAACTGGTCACTTACAGCAGCCGAAGCTACCAGACCAACACGGCAGACACAGGTGTGAGGTCTGGATAGGGGTGGGGGGCAGGCTGAGAGAACAAGAAGAATCCAGAAAAGCTGGATTAAACAAATGGTGGAAGGTGTGGGAGGCACTCAGGCAGTGGCCAGAACTGCCTAGAAACGCACACACAATAGATGTTTCAAGGACCAGGAGTGAGAGAAGGGGCCTTTGTTCATCTGGGGCCAGAGCAGGCCAGAGGGAAACCAGAGCCTTGGATGTGTTCCCACTCTAGTCACCATCTTGGCCCCAGGAAGTGACCTACTGCTGGAGCCACAGGCCTCAGGCTGTATTCTCAGCCCAACACTTACTAGGGGACAAAGGCCTTTACCTTACAGAGATCCATTTCCTTCTCCTGCTTCTCTCCAAAGCTTGCTTCTAAGTTTGATCTTACCTGAGTGCCTTTGCACCTGCTGTTCTCCCTGCCTGGAATGTTCTTCACCAAGATTTTTGCATGGCTGGCTCCTTCTTGTCATTTAGATCTGAGCTCAAATGTTTGTTGATATTATACTATTTTGCCTCATTTTCTTTCTTTTGGGGGAGAGGAAGGTGAGACAAGGTCTCCCGGTAGCCCCAGCTGGCCTGGACCTCATTATGTAGATAAGGCTAGCCTCATCTCACAGAGATCCACCTGCGTCCCAGTCTTCCAGTGCTGGGAGCAAAGGTGTGCACCACCACCCACCACACCCAGCTCTATTTGCCTCATTTTCCTTTTAATATCAGTCCTGGACTTTGCTTATTTGCTTAGCCTAGAGCCAAATTGATTAGATCCTGGCAACTTTGTTGTGTAAATATGAGCAAGTAACATTTCCATGCCTAAACTTCATTTCCTGTAATAGGACTTTACTTGATAGACTATCTTAAGGACTGAATTAATCCTATTTTAAGATTTTTGTTTTGTTTTGAGACAGGGTCTCATCTCATGTAGCCCTGGCTAGTCTCAAACTCACTATGTAAGTGAGAATGACCTTGATTTCTGCTCTTCCCACTTCTTCACAAGGGCCAGGATGACAGGTGTGTGCCACCATCCCCAATTTAAGGTCTTTTTTTTTTTGGTCTTTATGAGACAGGGTCTTCCTGTAGCACCAGCTGGGACTCACTATATAGACCAGGCTGGCATTGAACTCACAGAGTTCTGCCTGCCTCTGCCTCCCAAGTGCTGGGACTAAAGGCATGCACCACCACACCCAGCTTTTAAGGTCATTTTTTTGAAAAAGTGTGTAGCACAGAGCCAAATATAGTGGTTCATACCTGTAATCCTAGCACTTGGGAGATTAAGGCAGGAGAACAGATAGTTCAAGGGTATCTTAGGCTATAGAACAATAACTTGTCTCCCCACCCCAAGTATCTGGCATGTAGTAAACCTCAAAAAAAAAGATTAACTTTTGGGGAAGAGGGAAAGATTAGCTTTTAACCAGGCATTTTAATGGAGCTAAAGTTACAGATGGTTGTGAGCCACTCAGTGTGGGAGCGGGAAACTGAATTCCGGTCCTTTGCAAGAGCAGTATGCTCTTTTAAACACTGAGCTATCTCTCCAACCCCTCTTCCACCTTTTAAAAGAGAAAGTTCAGGGCTGGAGAGATGACTCGGCGGTTAAGAACACTGGTTGTTCTTGCAGAACACCTGGGTTCGAATCCCAGCACCCACATGGCAGCTAACAACTGTCCGTAACTCCAGTCCCAGGGGATCCAACAGCCTCTTCTGACCTCCACAGGCATTGCACAACTTGGGTGCACTTACCTACATGCAGGCAATATACACTTACACATAAAATAAAAATAATAAATAAATAAGATTTTAAATAAAATAAAATAGAAATTTCTGGGCTGGTAATTTAGCTCAATTCATAGAGTGTTTGTCTAGCATGCACAAGACTGGGTTAAGTTCCCAGCACTACATAAAACCATGCATAGTGGTACACACCTGTAATTCCATTCAGGATGGGGAGGCAGGAGGACGGAGAAGTTCAAAATCATTCTTAGATATAAACCTTGTTGAGGCCAGCCTGGGCCTCAAACAAACAAGTAATGAATATAGCTCAGTGGCAGAGTGCTTCCCTAACAAGTGGGAGGCTCTAAGTTCAACCCCCAGCACCACAAAACAACACATATAAGTTCCATGGAAGTCAGAACCTTGTGCCCTTGCCCACCAAGACAGAACATAAACAAGGCATTTAACTATTGATCACTGAAAAGAGTGTCATTCCAGCCTTAGGGACCCAATTCCAGCCTTAGGGACCCAATTTGTTTTGTTTTGTTTTGTTTTGTTTTTTCTAGTCTGGTTCTCCACCAAGGGACATAAAGTTGTCTTCACCATCCGCATAAGACATCCTCCCAACCCCCGGCTGTACCCACCTGCATATCTACCCCAGGGAGGTGAGGCTGATAAGATCAGGGAAGAAAGGTGAAGGGCCTGGGAGGGGATGCTTTCTTGCTCTCTTTCTGCCACTTTCCCTGTCTGGCACCCAACCCTGAGTCTTTCTTTCAGCCCATTACAACATCAGTGCTATGGTCACCATTGCCACCAAGACCTTTCTCCGTTATGATCGGTTAAGGACACTCATTGCCAGCATCCGACGCTTCTACCCTACAGTCACAATAGTCATCGCAGACGACAGCGACAAACCAGAGCGCATTAGCGACCCCCACGTAGAGCACTATCTCATGCCTTTTGGCAAGGTGCGAGCCTAGGAGACAGAAGAGGGTGCCAGAGGACTCTGGGAAGGGGGCGTGCCCTCAGTCTGCAGCTTCCCATTGAGGACCACCTGCCTCTTCAGAGTCAAGCCGGTGCCTGTTGCAAGGATTTCTCTAGAGTGGGGATCTTGCTTAGCTTTACTCTGCATTCTTGAAATGGTGCTTAATACCTATAAGAGTAAAACGAATGAATGTACTCACGCAAGAATTAAATGTATTTAAAGACCGCTAGGAAGAGGGATGGGAATGGGGGCGGGGATTAAACCTAGTTTCGGGTTGGAACGCACTCAAAAGTTTGGAGCACTCACAGGTTGTCGCGAGGGTCAGGGGAAAGGAAGAAAAGTGGCAGAGGTTGTCTGTTTCTACTCCAACGATACCCAACTCTCCCCTAGGGCTGGTTCGCAGGTCGGAACCTGGCCGTGTCTCAAGTGACCACCAAGTACGTGCTGTGGGTGGACGATGACTTTGTCTTCACGGCGCGCACGCGGCTGGAGAAGCTTGTGGACGTGCTAGAGCGGACGCAGCTGGACCTGGTAGGGGAGGGCCCGCACGACGTGGGGTGGAAGGAGGACGGCCACCTTGGGTTTCTCTGCGGTCTAGAGAAACGGATGAAGCGGAGTCTGGGGGGCGGACCGGCTGACGATGTAGCAAGGGAAAGGGAGCGCAGACCTACCCTCTTAGGGACCTCGCCTTACCTGGAGCCATCCTCCCACTCCCCGCAGGTGGGGGGCGCGGTGCGCGAGATAACAGGCTTTGCCACCACTTACCGGCAGCTGCTGAGCGTGGAACCGGGTGCTCCCGGCCTTGGGAACTGCCTGCGGCAAAAGCGCGGCTTCCACCATGAGCTAGTTGGCTTCCCAAGCTGCGTGGTCACGGATGGCGTGGTCAACTTCTTCCTGGCGCGCACGGACAAGGTGCGAGAAGTGGGCTTTGACCCACGCCTCAGCCGCGTGGCACATCTAGGTAAGTGGCGTCCCCTCCCGGCAGGGCCTGGGAAGGACCCTGTCCTGCTTGGGGCGAGCGCAGTGCCACCAGTGGTACCACCCGCTTGCACCACTAAAGCAAGTCTGCGAAGGTTTACCAGGTTTACCAGCGTGATCTGCACCTGGGCTTTAAAAAAAACATTTTCTCCTGCCCGGCATACCGCTTAAACCTCCGTGCCCAGCACCGCTCAGCATAGCCTCTGGTCAGCCTCGAACTTTTCCACCACTGCCAGGATCACCCCTGCTGTACATCCAGCAGCTTCCCCTGGTTAGACCACACCCAGAGTATTGAATCTGGTATTTATTGAACCTCTTAGGCAAAGAGATGTTTTGCTCTTTTTTTCAATTAGCTATTTAATGTGTGTGTTTTGTCAGCATGTATGTAAGTCCACTGATCCGGCACACGGAGGCCAGAAGATAGCATTGGATCCCCTAGAACTGAAGTTACGGACAGTTGTTAGCTGTCCTATGGGTGTTGGGAACTGAACCCAGGTCCTCTGGAAGAGCAGCCTGTGCTCTTAACCACCGAGTCATCTCTCCAGCCTCATTTTTCCCTTTTCAGATGGACTTCATTTTACCCGAGTAGAACAGAGAGAAGTTCATGTCTATGCAAGACCCTTAGCAACAAAGTTTTTTTATTTTTTTATTTTTTGGTCTTTTTGAGACGGGGTCTCCCTGTAGCCCCAGGTGCCCTGGAACTCACTATGTAGACCAGACTGGCCTTGAACTCACAGGGATCTGCCTGCCTCTGCCTCCCAAGTGCTGGGATTAAAGGTGTGTGCCCCCAACACCAGGAGGGTTATTTTATGTGTATGAGTGGTATTGCCTGCATGTATGTGAGTGTACCCGTGTCGTGCAATGTTGTGGAGGTCAGAAGAGGGCTTTGGATTCCCCTGGAACTGGAGTTAAAGACAGTTCGTAGCCACCATTGGGTGCTGGGCATTGAACCCAGGTCCTCTGCAAGAGCAGTCAATGCTCTTAACCGCTGAGCTATCTCTCCAGTCCCAGGAAATAAGTTTTATAGTATGTATGCAAGATTTGGAGTTGACTAACTTGATCTTCCTTTTTTTTTTTTTGGTCTTTTTGAGACAGGGTCTCCCTGTAGTCCCAGCTGACCTGAACCCTCATCCCAGAATTCTTCCTGGATGGACTCGGTTCACTTCGTGTTGGCTCCTGCTCCGACATCATTGTGGACCATGCATCGAAGGTGAAGCTGCCGTGGACATCAAGGGATGCTGGGGCAGAGACTTATGCCCGCTACCGCTACCCAGGATCACTGGATGAAAGTCATGTGGCCAAACACCGCCTGCTCTACTTCAAACACCGGTTACAATGTATGACAGCTGAGTGATGGCTGATTTGGGCCTTCCCACTGTCAGGCTGGGCCCTGCCTCCTTGTCCCTGTCCAGGAATTCCCAGCAAACCCCTCTACCCTATGAACTCTCCTTTCATGACCCCTGACCTCCTGACCCTCTCCCACCCTTTCAAGCACCTGATCCCACACAGGGGCTTGTCCTGGTGACACCCCTCCTTTCTGTGAGTGCCCAGAGGCCAGATGGAGCTGTAACTTCTCCCACAGCCAGTGCCAAGTCCTCCCCCAACCCCATTCCTATGGGGCAGGAAATGGGGGGTTCACTTTCCAAGTGCCAAAGAGCCCAGGAGGACTCTAAGATCCTCAAGTGGAAACACTCTCATCTCCTGAGGGGGCAGGGAAGCTCCCAGTGTGCAACCCCAGGGCCATGCACCCCACCCAGCTCTGGATCCAGCACCCTGTGCACCGGCTCCAGCCTACCCCCACAGAGAACACTGTGACTCTGCAGTTTTGTGGGGCTGGTGAACACATGGTGAAAAGCCATTTTTGCTTGTGTCTCTGCAGTACTTTGGGCATGGGGAAAAGCGGGTAGTAAGGAGGAGAGATTCATACGCAGACACACAGACCCACTTCATGAACTGCAGATGCTCTCAAGCGTCACTTTATTCATTGCATTGTGCTCAAAGACCACAGCCTCACACACATGCACGCACGCACATAAACACACACTGTTGAAGCCCTTCAAATACCAACTGACCCAGTTAGATCCACACTGTGCAAATCTTTGGGCCAGTGAGCTCCTAGAGAAAAGAAGGGACAGGTCAGGAATTAAATTAGGTACTACCATCCTCTAAGATGCACCAGTGCTCTGTGAGCACACCACCCCCTTTGGGATCGTAGTTCAGTTCTTTACCCTTGGTGAAGCTTGACCCAGTTTCCCTAATTTGGTCTTATATCTACTGGTCGCCCCTACTACCTCCCTTTTGATCTTCCTCTGCCCCTTCTCCAAATCCCTCTCCCTAGATCTTCAGCTATTCAGCCAGCCCTCCTTGCCCTAGCTCAGCACCTCCTGGCTGCCACTCTGGATGTTACTTCCCCTTACCAGTCTCTCCATGGCATGTGCAGCTGCATCCTGGACACTCACAAAGAGCTGTTCGGGAGTCACTCTATCCAGAAGTCCTACCCGGGTCAAGGTCTCCAACACCAAGGCTGTGGGAAAGGTGTAAATCCATCCCGTGTCCTCTTTCCTCTCCCAAGTGCCCAGGCAGTCCCCAGCCTCTCCAGCCTTCACGCCACGAACCATTACACTGAGCCAGGAGAAGACAGATCCCAGCATCCTGGCATCGGCTGGTGAGCTGCAGGAATCAGGCAGAGGAGTTAAATGCCAAATCAGAGGGTATGTGTGGGGTAATGAGGGGCTCATCCTCAGCCTACCTACTGTCTCACCTGCACCACTTCCCTGGCCCCTGCAGCATCCGCAAAGGTGATGCCGCTGAAGTCTAGGATCACCACTCTGATGGGCTCAGCAGCTAGGATGGAAGAAGGCAGGAGTACCCAGATGCCCCCATGGGTCATGGCCAAATCTCCCTCCTTGTCATCCCATCTCACCTTTGTCAGGTAGGCTACCTGGCATTGGAGACTCCTGTAAGGTCAGAAGGGCAGTCACCACCTCCAAGACACAGGCACCAACTCGCACCCTTTAGGCCCAAGGATCTGCCACAGAACACATCTGTCTCCTAATCCCTGAGGGTCCACACGCCTCCTTGACCAAAATCCTCACCTTGCTTCTTTCTCCAAGCCCCAGATGCCACTCCAAGATTTGGCGGAACTGCCCACGGGTTGCAAAATAGAGTGGTGTTGGATAGCTCAGGATGCAGAGACCTGGAACCTGGAGGAGCTAAGGGGTGAGAGGGTCAGAAACAGCCAGTCTAATCTCTCCTTCCTTCTTTGGCTGCAGCCCACCCACCTTATGGCTCTCTCTGAGTGGCCTGTAGAGCTCGGTCCCTTCAGCCAATCCAAGTGCCAGGCACTGCACCCTAGGGAAGAAGCTGCAGTCAGGTTCCCAGCCTAGCCTGATTTGGCTAGAGTCATCCCAAAGTATCCATCTCCCTTCCCTTAGCTCAACTCCACTCATCTCTATGCCCACCTCTGGGTACGGCAGATCACAGTCATCATGGAAAAGATCACACCTACAGCCAGGCCCAGGTCCACATTCAGGGTCACTACAGCCACCCATGTGACCATCCACACAGCCTGAAGAACATGGGTATGGGTGGATTGCCCAGAAGAAAGACTGGGGTTCAGGGGCAAATGATGGGAAGGGTGGCCCAGGAGAAAGTAGGAAGTTTGGCAGAAGAGGCTAACTCAATAGGACACACACCAATGTGCCATTTGGGAGGTCTGGTCTGGGGATGTAGCTCAGTGGTAGAGCTCTTGCCCAACAAGCATGAGGCTCTGGGTTCATTTTTAATACCACCAAAAAAATGCCTGCAAACAAATACTCAGTTCTGGGGGTCCAAACCCCACCCTTTTCCTTTTCTCTGAGATACATATGAGGTCTGTGTGTTGGAGGTGTGTGGATTAAAGAAGTTAGGATAATCAACTTTGGTCCAGGGTAGAGGAAGGGTGGAAGGGGGTAATCTGAGGGTAAGGCCATTCCTCACAAAGTCCACACGACTGATGTGCCAAAGCTGTGGAAGTTCCTGCATCTGGAAGAACATCTGGCGCATGCTGGAGATGTTGATGCAAGCCAGAACAGCCTTGGGGCAAAGGAGGTAGGCTGATTGCCCCAATATTTCAATATTCAGCCACATCCCCTCCGGTGTACCATATCTCCTCTACTCCCTACCTTGGGCAGATAGTAGAAGAAGGGCCCCAGCCACAGCAGCACAGACAGGACCACCATGCAGGAAAAGAGGCCTGCCAGCTGCAGGGAAGGAAGAATGGAAACAAGGGAGCACCTCCACCCCCACCTGTGTGGGAGCTGGTCTCCCTGCCCAGTCAGCCTCATCTTCCTCAGAAGTCTCCCTCCTCCCAGATCTCCCTCACAGACATCCTTCACTTCTCAGACACAGTGATATTCTGCCGTTCACCCTCCAGTTAAATGTCTGTCATTTGCTAATCTCCCCTAGATGTATGTGGTTCAAACTTCCTATTTTTGTAGTCTACATCTCGCTTAAAAGCCAGTCTTGGTGCTGGAGACCTGATAAGCAAGCCTACCACCTGCTTAAGACACCAGAAACTAAGGAAAACAAAACATATTAGGGGGAGAGTGGTATGAAATATTTCCTTTTAAATTTTTTTTTTTATTTTTTGTGTATGAGTGTATTGCATGTATGTAAGTGTACCCACGTCATGCAATGCCCGCGGAAGTCAAAAGAGGGCATCAGATTCCTCTGGAACTGAAGTTATGGATGGTTGTTATCCACCATGTGGGTACTGAGAACCAAACCTGGGTCCTCTGCAAGAGCAGCCAATGCTCTTAATCGCTGAGCCATCTCTCCAGCCCCATTTTTTTTAAGTTTCATAGGAAAAAAATCAGAATTTTATCTCCTAAAGTGTTGGTTTAGCCCCTCTTCGCATGTGGGTCTGTGTGGAGTGGGTAGGTGTGTGTATGTGTGTTCACATGTGTGTAGGGGCACATGTGCCCATGTGCTTGTAGAAGTTCACACCCGGAATCTGTCTTCATCATCCTCCACCTTATTCATTGAGGCAGGGTCTCTCAGTTGAGCCCAGAGCTCACTGATACAGGCCAGTCTAGCTAACTAGCTTGCTCTGGGGAGCCTCTGCCTTCCAAGTACTGGGATTGTAGGCCAGTCACCACACCCATTGCTGTTTACATGGGTTCTGGAGATCTGAACTCCAGTCCTCATGCCTGTACAGCAAATGTTTTATCCACTGAGCCATCTCTCCAGCCCAGCTATCTTTTTTTTTTTTTTTTTCTGAAACAATGTCTCAACTCTGTGGCCTAGCTAGCCTGAAATTCCAGACCTTCCTGCCTCAGTACTAGAATTCTGGGTGCTAAGTCCTAGCATAACATCCACTTATTTTATTTTTAAGTACATCTGAGGTACCACCGCTTTTCTCAGTGTTCACGGCCTACAAAGTCCTCATGGAGCTTCAATATCTTCTAACTACTCTTTATAATCCCATCCCTGCTGGGTGTGGTGGCACACACTTTTCAATCCCAGCACTCAGGAGGCAGAAGCAAGTGAATCATTGTAAGTTCAAGGCCAGTCTGGTCTACATAGAATTCCAAGCCAGCCAGGACTACATAGTAAGACCCTATCAAAAAAAAAAAAAAAAATCTTGTCCCTTCCCTCGCCCTCTCTTGATTTCCGTCCTTCTAAACATAGCTGTCACTGGGTATCTACTTGTTTCACCATCCTCAGTTGTCACACCTGCCTGAATGTCCCATCCTTTCTTCTCCCCCAAGGATGCCCTCTTACCTGTGTATTCCCACCAGCATCCACTAGTAGGCTGGTTGTGGCCAGTGTGGCAGAGTTGGGAAAGCAAGAGAAGAGAGACGAAATGAGGTTGGAGACACCATGGGCCAGGAGCTCCTAGAAGGATACAGAGAGATGAAGAGCAGGGAGATGTGGGCATAGGGGAGTAAGGCTAAGGGGTTACTTCTGAAAGAGGCTGGGGTCCACAGAGTCACACCTGGTTAGGGTCAATACTGTAGCTATACTTGTCTGCATAGATGGAGGCCAGGGACGTGGACACAGCAAAAGTAACCAATGCGATGGGCAGCGAGTCAGCCAATATCCTGGGCAGCTCAGCCAGGTTAGGGAGGAGGGGTTGGGGAAATCTGGAGAGGGAGGGATCCATGATGAGGATGTGTTGGGTACTGCAAGGAAACAGGGAAGGAAGAGCAAATAGGGTTGGGCAGGACAAGGGAAGGTGTTTGTGGAATAAGTAGAAGAAAAAACTGGTATCTTTTCATTCTCTTACCCTCCAGGCAACAGTCCCACTACCTGGACATTGTATCTTGTGTCCAGGGAAGAAGTGAAGCAGAGCACCGAGGCCAGAAGCACCTGAGGAAAGAAAATATTAGGGCCTAGAAGGAGATGGGGCCCTTGGCAGAGGCTAGAAGAAGCTCACCTGAAAGAGAATCCCAGTGTGGATCTGGGCAGGGAGGGGAAGTCCCAGGAGTTTAGCAACTGGCAAAGCCACAGCAAGTTTGGAATGGGCACCCGACAACTCATCCACAGTGAAGGGGGGTGGGGAGGGGAAAGAAGCATAATGTTTGCCTGAGGCTATGGAGAGACAGGGAAACAAGAGGAAGCTTCTTGGGAAGTGGTGGATACAAAAGATACACCTGAACCATTCTAGGCAGAAAAGTGAACTATATCTAAGAATATATGTGCTGCCTGTGGAAACCTAGGACATTTATTTACCCAGGAAGGGCACAGTCTAGATGGGGAGTGAAAAGTGAATTACAGTGAATTACAATGAAAGAGCCTATGAGGAGAGAAGAAAGATGCCAGGTGAGAGCGCACAGTAGGGAGGAAGGCGGTCTAAGGTCTGGAGGCACTCGGTGAGCGAAGTGAGACAGTGCAAGCAGGGAATTCTAGTGGGTCAAGTGCTCTGGGGAAGAGGCCTGGAAAAGTGCCCATGCAAGCAGGACCTCTCGCGTGTCACCGCTCTGCATTCCACAAGGGGGCGGCAGTGACCAGATCCCACTAAATCAACAAGATCTCGAACCACAGAGAGCAGGCACCTGGGGCCGTCCTCACCATGACAACTTCCCCTGGGATTGGAGTGGGTAGCCTGTCCCGGAATCTCACATTCAATTCCTTGACCGGCATTAGGAGCGCCAGGCTGAGTGCCGAGATAGTCAGTTCTGCTGGACTGCTCTGGGGCAGTGCGGTGAGCACCGCAGCCAGCGTCTGCCGGGAGGAACCGGGAGCAAAGGCCAGGCCTCAGCGTTAACTGACCCCCTCCCCGCCGCAGCATCTCATCAGACCCGGGCAAAGCGCTCTCCCGCTGTGGTCAGGGCTTCCATCTTCGCAGCACCCAGGTGCAGCCGCATGGTTCTTTAAACTCTTTCCTCGTTACACTGCTAGCCCTCCACCCTCCGTGTTTCCTCCCCTTTTCCTGTTGCCCTCTTGCTGCGACTTCCAGAAACCTCTTCTCCCACCTTAAAGAGAGAGAAGCAGCCGATCTGGCGTGGGAGAGACAAGCCCAAAAGGCTTGGTAACTGGGATACCAGAACGTGCAGCGCGGCCCCGCTGGTCAGCGCCTTGACCACAGGCTCGGACAGAAAGGTAGACAGGACACCGAGCCGCAGCACGAACATCCCCAGCTGCAATGGGGAAGATGCGCAATCAGCTCAGGCAGCGCAGGGCACCAGCTCCCCGGGGCATGTCTGCCACCCGGGACCTGAACATGAGGCTTGTTCCTGCCTCCCTCCCCTGGCCCAACCGCCCTGGTCCTCTTGCGTGGATGTAGCCCCCAGGACGCTCGCCCGGTCCTCCCTTACCATCAGCGCCCCACTCCCGAAGGCCACAGCAGCTGCCGTCCCAACTCGCTGAGCCTCCAATTGTTCCCTTTCAATTCCACTCAGGTTCCCCGCGAAGGGTTCGGGCACCAGACGCTCGACTGCAGAGCCGGTCATGAGGCTGAGTACTGCGAAAGTTCCTGGAGCCGAGGGCCAAATGCTGAGATCAGTAGCTATGCCCTCCGGGCAGAGCAACAGCCCAGACCCGGCAGTTCTGGAGGTCGGATGCTGCTGTCCCACCCGCTCTCTTAGAAAGCAGCTGCCCACATGAAGACCAAGGGGTCAGGAGCTGGTGCAACAGCCAAGAACCCGTGGGGAGGGAGGAAAGAAGGGCGCACCGGCTGACCAGAATTTCCCCTTCTGCAGGCTCCCGGAGGACAGTGTGTGCTCCGGTGCGGATGGTGCGTCTCTTCTTTCCCTGCAACTCCCGGAGTTCATTTTAACCAAGTTTCACCGGAGAAGGAGGAGCCAAGTAAACTCCCTCCCGTTTGTACCCACTCCAACAAGCCTGCCTAGGTCAGAGAGCTCCGTGGCAAAGGAGGTGGTATTGCAGTAGGGCTCCCAAGAGAAGGGTAAGAAGAGGAGGAAAAGTGAAAGCGGCGAGAGTAATGGAGCTCGGTAGCTTAAGAAATAGCCGCAAATCTTTGCCCATTCTCACCCCAAAGAGGAGAGAAGTCATAGGCAGTACCTGGCCACTCACCCGTGGACAGGTGTCTCCCGGTGCCCAGTAAACTGTAGATGAGGATGGGAAAGAAAGAAGTGTAGAGTCCGAACACCGGGGGCACGGAGGTCAGGAGCGCAAAAGCCATGCCTGGGGGAGAAGAAGGAGAGGTTTGCCGGAGTGAAGGGGTGATGGACACCAACTTCCAGGTCCCTCCCAGCTCCACATCAGAGATCGTAAACGGTGTTTAGGTTAGGGAATTGAGAGGTTAATGGGCCTCAGTGGGAGGTCGCGAAGCTGACAAAGTCACAGATCCTTGCCCACTTCCTGGGGGGGCTGGGGGACGGCAGGCTTTGTACCGCTCTCCAATTCCCTGAGCCGGAACGGAGTCCAGCACGTCTCACAGGATTGCACAGATGAGGGTGGGAATGTGATGGAGCACCACAGTCTTTCTCTCGAACTGGGCCTCAGATCCTTGTCTCCAAACCCGCAGGGACACTAACTTACCACCCCACTGCGAGATTCCCAGTGGAATCGAGCCTCCTTCCAGGAGCCCCTATGCGGTTTGGAACCCCGGCAGACTGGAGTTGGGGCGTCTCACCCTGCGGCACGTGCACGATGCCCACGGTCACTCCTGCCACAGCATCCCCAAGCAGCCAGGCCCTCCAGCGGTACTGAGGCAGCCAGCGCAAAGGGGGCAGCCTTGCTAGCAGCAGGCGCCACGCCCCCTGTCCAGAACAAGCGCCGACTCGGCGCCTCCACCGCCTGCACTGCTGAGGCAAGCAGGACTCCGCTGGTAACTCTGGCTCCTGCTCTGCGACCCCGAAAAGTTGCTGGAACCGAGCGTGGGTGAGAGGCTCCCTGAGCCTAGTGCTCAGCGGAGACTTGCAAGCGGAAGCTTCCCGGCCGGAGCAGGTCATGGAGCCTAGTGGCCCGCTCATTTTGCCCCTGACCCCTGCAAGCTCCTCCAGGTCTTTCTTAAATACCCATCCGCTCCGCTAGCCCTGAGCCCGCCTCCATAAAGCAGGGTCCAATCCAGACCTGTAGGGCTGCGCTCTCTAGGGGACCTCCTCTGGTCAGGCTTGGGTGGAGAAAGTCCCTGTGTTAGGCGTTTCCTCAGACATCCACAGCCGGATCTGACCGCTTTAGCGCCCTGGAGCCTGCTATGAGAGTGTCTGAGGGAAGGTGTGGAGAGAAGGGACAGGCTCACAAACACTTGCTAAGTCCCAAGGCCCACTGTTTACCACTGGTAATAATCCTCACCTCTTCACCTTGGGCTCCTTTCCCCATCTGCACTTTGAGCAAATCAGGAGCTGACTTTTGGTTGGGTCTTCAGTTTTTCCCTGAGCCTGCTGCATCCTCCCAGCTACCAAGCAAAACGTTCGGAGCCAGTTGGGAACCCCCCCCCCGAAGGAAAGTGGAAGAGGCTTTGTTTCTGCAGTTTTATAAACCACTACATACATCTATTGAACAGGGACAGTGAACAGGACCACTCCATACCTATACAAGGAGTGGATGTGCCTCGTTTAAGGAAAATACTGAACAGGAAATTTTTATTCCAAAAAGGCCCTAAATACCATCTGTTACATTCAAGTGTTATTCTCAAAATAGGCACTCAAAAATGCATGTCTAAACTAGGCACAAAGGGTTTGCCCACCCACCTCATGCACCCCTGTGGTCCCTAAAGAAACACAAAGACTCTGAGCTCCAGGATTCTGTTTGCTGCCATACCCTCCTCCATTCAATTGGCACCTCTCCCCATCACCTTCTGGTCCCCCAGTCCCTGACCCCCACAGGCCAGGGGTAGCGTACAGAGAGGGTGGGCCTCTCCTCTTCAATTCCTCCTATTGTTCCCCAGAAATCTTATCTGGGCCCCATGTCCTGTCCCCCCCCTTATAGATTCCCTTCCCTCATTGTCGACCAGAGGGACCTGGGGCCCATAGGGAGGCTCCAGCACCTCCTTGCCCTCCCACCCCAGCAGGCTATTGTCTGCTGAGGAAGCCCCAGTGCATGTGACTGAACCCAGGGGACTAATGGACACATGGATACATAGGGACCCAGAAGAGGGCATTTGCATCTCTGCACTTTTGGCTCTGTCTGTTCCAGGAGCTGTGCCAGAAGTTGGGAGGGGTGAAGATCTCTTGGACTCTCAGCTCTCAATTCTCGATTTGAAGAATTCCTGTATGTTCAGTGTGGACATACTTTACCACCTCCAAGACTGCAAAGGGACCTCTGGCTCCTCACTACCTTCTAATTCTTCAGTTGAACATGGAAGCCTCAGAAGGAAAGGTACATTGGGTATTTTGTACTTTCATATCTAGGTGTTGGGGGAGGTGATAGGAAGTCACAGTACCCTGACTTTTCTGCTGGGGTCTGAACCAAAAGGTAAGTCCAGAATCCAGAAGGACTGAATAAACTAAGCCCTAGATCTGGATGGAGAGATACTTTACCTACAGGTGAAGGACAAAACTAACAGTCTTTATCTTCTGTCTTTCTATCATCCAGCCCCTCCTCAAGTGGCTTGGGCCAGCTGACCTCTTCTATGCTACTTTATCCCACCCACTCCCACTGTAGTCTCTTCATCTCCCTTTCAAGACAGCCATCTCAGTGATAATAACAAAACCTTTATTCACAGAAAACTGGAAAAACAAAATCACAACAAAACCCAGTAATTTCTCTCTGGCCCCTGCCTTATCCCTCCCTCCCAACCCCCTACATATCCTCCATTTAAGGGTACCATGATACATGTATAGGGGTGGAGCTGAAGGATCCTGTGTTTCTTGGGTAGAAAGGAGTCCTTTCTGGTCTAGGTTCTCCCCTCCATTGATATTTCTTCCAGCCTGGCCCACTCTCCACACACAATCCTGAGCATCCCCAGGATTGTCCTCAACTTGCTTGGGGAATCAGTGGCTGAATTACCAGGAAGAAGGAATTCTGGAGCATCCCCAGGATTGTCCTCAACTTGCTTGGGGAATCAGTGGCTGAATTAGCACCACTCTCATAGCCTTAACCAGTTACAGTTCATCTTCATCCAGCTTGGCAAGCCTGGCCTGGCAGGGAGGGGTGCTTGGAGTTGGAAGGGCTAGAGTAGAGTCGTGAGGACCCGGGAGGGTGTCACTGAGCGCCTGAAGAGATTCAAGTCAGAAGATGAGCAAAAGCCACCAATTTACCCTCACTCTTTTCAGCCTAAACCCCTAGCCAGACCACCTCTTCTTGCCCTATAATTAAGCTGGGGGAGAAGAAGGGAAGGGAAGCAGGAAGATCACACAAAAAGAAAGGTGGTAGAAGAAAGGAATAGCTGTGGGGGAGGGAGAAATAAATGTCATCCCCATTCTTCCCTACAAGCAGGAAACTATTCCTCATACCTGTGTGTCCAGGGGCAGGAGCACTCTGGGCACCTCCACTTTGGGCAAAAGCAGCAGGGAGGGGAGAGAGCCATTGATGGGTGTGCGCATGCTGACCTGGGCCCAGTCTCCAGGCCGCATTCTCCCAGGGCTCCCTACCCCAGGCCCTCCTGGGCGCCCCAGGCTGTTGGTCTGGCTCTCACGTCTCTGGTACTCAATGGGTGACTGCAATGCTGAGACAAAACAAGGTTCAGGAGATGTGTTTCAGCACAGAGAGGCAGGTTCCATTCCCAGGGTTCTGCTTGTGCCACATCCTCCCATTCTGCCCTCCCTCCTAAGTTAGTCAATGTAAAGTGTTTGAAACTTTAGAGGATTCTGAGTTACCAAATTCTGAACAGGTGGGGAATGGAGAGAAGCTAGACTCAGAGAACCAAGAGTTGGATACTGGATGGGGGAGGGGGTCGAGGGTTGGGAGGTCAAATGGCTGAAGGGAGCATGTAGAGAAGGGAGGATGAGAGCTTCACCATTGAGAAAGTCACGCTGGCTTTCCAGGATCTGAGCCACTTGCTTGATCCAGGCCTGACTGACTGCAGGGTCTGAAGCCTGCAGGACATAGCGCTGGATCCCACCTTCTGGCCCCCTAGAGGTCAGTGCAAATCGGCAAGGGTTGCCTTGGAGATTCCCCTCCAGTCCCAGGCAGCTCACCTGGATTGGTAAAGCATAGATAGTCCTCAGATTCTGCAGGCCCCTCTACCAAACCCAAGAGCCAGATATCTTGGAAGCCTCACCCCATCCCAGTCTGAGCCCTCCCGCATGGCCCCTCCCCACCTTAATGCTGCTCTTGTACACATAGCCAGGCTGTGTGCCACCTCGACCTCCTCCTCCCAACACCTCACTGAAGATGATGATTTGCTCGAACAGGAAGACTCGCCTCTCTCGACCCCGGGAAGAAAGCAGACCCCCAGCTTCAGGCTCTGTGACCCAGAATGTGTCCTGGCCCAAGAGCTTCCCCTGAGCAGTCAGTTTTCCCTGAAACCAAAAAAATGTGATCTTAGAAAGCACAAGAAGAATCTGAAAAGATCACCTGCTTCTCCCTCTCTCCCTTCCCTGACACTCCCCACCAAGCCTGGGTGGAGTCACCCAGAAGGTAATTCCCTCTAAGGACCTCCAGGGTGCTAAGACCTGAGCACAAGAGTCCTGCACTTCTGGTTTCCTGCCCCAACTCCATACCTCAAATCCCCGAAGTCTCCCCAGGGACATCATATCATTGCAGCGCTTGGGCACAAAGCACATGACCTCCACAGCTTGCTGGGATGTAGGCAAAGAGGAGCATAGTTGGACAAAGGGAGTCATTGACATTGACAAAGAGGCTCCCTCAGACAGCTGCTTCTTCACATATCTCCACCCTAATAGCCTCCCCGCCTAAATGCCAGATATTGCAGAACCACCTAGGGCTTGGGGTACCCAAATGACTAAGAGGATAAGGTTCTGGTATGTCCTGGGGACCTCACCTCTAGCTCTTCAGTATCCATCCCAGCTCTGCTGTAGTACTTTAGAAAATCCTATGGCACAAAGAAGAGATGTTCAGGGAGGTCATGGGCACATTCTCAGAAGCTCTCACATCCAGGCCTCAGGACACAGGTGAGGACCTCTGCTGAGCCTCCAGAACCCTGGAGAGATGACTGAGGAATGGCTTGTCCCAGCCAGCTGTGCCCCTAGGGAGAAGGGTGGTCCTAACCTTGAGCAGTAGCTGGTATTTCATGATCCGCTGCACAGGTTTGATGAGGAGGTCATTGAGCTGCAGGCGGTGTCCTAGCTGCTGCCTGAGCTCCTGGGGACAGGGACAGTGTAGTTATGCAGCCTGAAAAGCCCATTCATGCTGATTCTGTCCTTCTTCCCCCAAGGCACCTCAGCCACTGACCTCAAAGTAGCTGTCCCCAAACTCTGAAACTACATGCTCTGACTTGGGCTTATTCTGACAGTACACCACGTACATATGCAGCCGGCGCTCCTAACAGGTATAATGTTGAGGAGACAACAAGGTGGGTGATGACAAAGAAGGGCACACTCCCATAGTGCCCTAACAGAGAACCAAGCTCTCCCCCTGCTAGGCCCCACCCTCTTAAGCCTCACATGTTTGATGAATAGCTGAGCCAACCAATCAGGATCCTTCAAACACTGCTGCAGCTCCTGTAGGAAATAGCTGGAAGAATTGGCAGAAAAAAGCAAATCAAATACTTTTCAGACCCCTTACCTCCCTCACACATCCCAGATTTTCAGTTACATGCACTAGTCACTCTCTCTATAAAACTCCAAAGGCTTCTTGGGTCAGAGCAGACTCATGGTTTGGATACCAGGATAGAGAGACCATTAGATGAATGCCCCTCCCCAGCACCTGGCTCAGGGCTGCTCCATCACTCACTCTCGGTGCCACTCGTAGATTTGCTGAATGTTCCCAAACACAATCCTGTCACGACCTCGAAGACTCTCAGGGACCCCCTGAGTAGCCATAGTAGCCATGTAACCCTATAAGAAAGTTGAGATGGGACTGTGAGCATGTAGCCCCAGCCCTGGTAAAATCCCCACCTACCCCCATAAAGTCCAAAAGTGGAAGGGACTGGGAAGGTGGTACAGAGGAGCAGCAAGGCATCTCTTAAAAATATCCCCAGGTCAGGGCTAGTGAGATGGCTCAGCAGTTAAGGGCAATGGTTGCTCTTCGAGAGGACCTGGGTTTGATTCCCAGCACCCACATGGTGGCTAACAACCATCTGAAACTCTGATGCCCTCTTCTGGTCTCTGTGGGCATTGTATACACCAGTGCACTTATTTACATGCAGGAAAAACACTCATATACATAAAATAAAAATAAATAAAATTTTAAAAATATATCCCCAGGCAGGGGGAAAAGGCAAGTGGGTTACAGCTGGGAGGGAAAAAGGAGCTACCTCCACAATCTGCCCCAAGTCGTCCACATACATTTTCTCCGTTTCTACCAGCTCACTCAGGACATACCTAGGAAGAATATATTTGTAGAGAAAGGAACAACCGTACCCCTTTTGCGATGTTTGGCTGTGGTGGGAGTAGGGGCAGAGCCGGGCAGGGGGCGCATATTCAGCAGGAGCAACTTCAGAATCTGAAAGACCCTCTACCACAACCACCCTCAGAAGGCATTCCATCCTAAATGTGAGGGATAGTCTTGTAGAAGTTCTGCACCTTGAGTTGAGGGTTGTGGACTTACATACTCCTTTCCAGAGCTGCCTTCTGTTCTTCCTCATTCTTGGGAACTTGAGACAAAGTCTCCTCTTCAGGTGGCTGGAAGGAAGAAAGAGCATCCTGGGGTAAGCAAATGAATGCCTTTTAGGTGAGGAGAGCCTTCTCAGATCCATATTCATTTGTTTCATTCATTCATCTATCTATCTATCTATCTATCTATCTATCTATCTATCTATCGTCTTTTAGTGAGGAGAGCCTTCTCAGATCCATATTCATTTGTTTCATTCATTCATTTATCTATCTATCTATCTATCTATCTATCTATCTATTTTATTTGGTCTTTTTGAGACAGGGTCTCTCTGTAGCCCCAGCTGTCCTGGAACTCACTATGTAGACCAGGCTGGCCTTGAACTCACAGAGATCCGCCTGCCTCTGCCTCCCTAGTGCTGGGATTAAAGGCGTGCACTACCACACCCGGCTGCTTGTTTTATTTTTGGGACAGGATTTCACATAGCCCAGGATGGCCTGGCACTTGATATATGTCCAAGGCTGGTCTTGAACAGATAGGTGTCCACCTATTTTTGGCCTAGCTTTGTTTCTTCATACCTGTACTTTAACTCCAGAACCCTCCAACAATGTGGTCAATAAGGTCAGTTCTGGCAGCTCCTCTCCTGTGGCTAGAGTAGGTTCCAGCATCCAGTTCTGAGGCCAAACAGGGGTCGTGTCAGAGGTCATGAACAGTAGCTGGGTTCCTCAATGACCAAGTAACTCCAACTTGCTCTCCCTCCCAGTGTCCTTCACGGATGTCCTACATGCTTCTGGGGTACTCCCTGCTCACCTCATATGGTCCTGCTTGACCACCATCTGCCTCAGTTTCCACACTGAGACAATGTTTGGAATGATCCAACCATCTCCTCAGGCCAGTAACTGGCCCTGGGGGGCCCGGGGAACAAGGGTGAGAGCTGAGGCCAGAGCTGGGGCCAGAGGGGGCAACCAGACCAGAGGCAGCAGAAGCAGATATACTCCCCTCACTACCAGCAATGGAATAGGATTCTAATGGGAGGAAAAGGAAAGGTGATAGACATTGCCCCAGATCCAGACTCAGGGTCCTAGGTGGAACTCCCAGATGGTTCCCTCCATGATGTTCAGCCCCTATCTCCCAGGAGTCCCTCTTTTGCCACCCTCCTTTGAGTTGACCAGTATAGAAATCTTTGCCAGAACACCTGGGGAAGAAGGACAGTAAACACCTGGCCACCAGGCCTGGATCTTCCCAGTTCCACATGGAGGGTCCCCATATCCTGAGCATAGCACAGATATGGGGGTGGGGGCAGCCATCTGGGCAGATACTGGAAACTGGGGGTAGCCATCTGCTTTCTCACAGCCCTCCCCCTTCCAATGGGTACAAACCATTCTCCCAGAGAGGGGTGAGAACAAAAGAGCTGAGTCTGTCTGCTACCCCCAGACCCCTCCTCCTCCAAATGCAGCAATTACTATAAAAAGAAAAAACTTGGATAGCCCACCTCCCCAGCACATGCATACACCCAACAGAGGGGGCAGGGACAACAGCTCAGCAGGGTTATCTCGGGCCAGCACTAGAGAAGAGCTGCAATTTGAGTTCTTGTGAAGCCCCTAATAAAATCCCCTAGTTGCTCATTCCTCTATTTCCCTTGTCCCTTTACAAAAGATTCTCAACAAAATGATTTGAGGAAAGATACATGGTCGGGTTCTGGGCCTAAGACTGTGGGAGAATTTTCCCTCCTGTCTAGTTGACTCTAAGAAACAGATGAGTTCTCTGCCCCTTCCCCAAATTCCTTAACTTAGGCGAATAGAAATCTAAAAGTAGAAAGTATCTTAGAAATCATCTGTGAAATCACTTTCCTGGAAAACTAACCTACTGCAGGCTCCGGCCCTAAATCCCTAGGGCCAGGGCAAACAGTTGATGCCCTGAACCCCAGCCCAAGCCACCCCCAACTCAACACTGGGCCCTTGAGACCTCGCACTCACCACGTCCCCCCCGGACGAAGCAGCAGCCACATTTTGCCAGCACTTTTCGAATCACAGGGGGACAGGCACAGCGACCCCCTTTGTGAACCCCCCGCATGGCGTCCCGGCCCCCCTACGTCCCCCTCCCGGGCCGGCCATACAGGGGGAATCACGGGGGGCGGGGCGGGGACGGCGCAGGGCGCACACCCCCCCCTTCCTCCCACTGGGGTCCAGGCTGGGGGAGGGGGGTAGAAAGGGGATAGGGATCGGGGGTCCAGGAGTAGACGGAAGTCGGGTCTGGAGGACCGCTGCGGGTTCAGGAGGGAGGGCGGTGCGGGCCGGGGCGCGTAGTTGGGCGGGGAGGGTTTCCGGAACCCTGGCGGTGCGGGGCCCAGGGTCCAGATGTCCAGCCAGGGGGAGAGATGATGGGGGAAGCCGGGTCGGGATGCGGCAGCCGCTCCAGCTCCGACTCCGGCCTCTGCTTGAGGGTGGCTCTAGGCCCGGGAGGGGTGGCGCGGGGGCCGACTCCCGGAGCCACTGGCGCTGCACCGGTCCAGGCGAGCGGTGAGCGGAATAACAGGCCGGGCCGCGGTGCAGCCGCGGGGAGGGGCCTCTGCGGCCCAGCTCCGCCCCTCCCGCGCTTCCACACCCCCCCAACCAGCCCCAGCTGGGTTCCAGTCCCAGCCCCACCACCATCACGCTCCCACTCCACGTCCCCAGACCTCCACCCCTCCCCTGGGCCTGGGCTCCCCCGCCCGAGAGCCCGCTCTTTCCCGCATCCCGGCTGTGACTGCGGAGCGCTGGGATGGAGTGAAGCCTGGCAGTGGGGTCTGCCAGGGTCGCCCCTCGGCCTAAGAGATGAAGGTCTCGCTGCTTGGGGCCTTGGCTGGTGTGAAATGTTCTGGGATCGGGGCTATCCCCCTTCAGGCGATGCGTGCTATGGGGAACACAACCCAGGTGCCGCCCTCTCGCCGGACCCTTCTTTCCTCCAGGCCCCGGCACTCCGGCTAAAACTAATCACCAATTAAGGTGAAGTCCTGGAGCCTGAGCTGGCCAAGGGCCAGGGGTGGGGTGCGGGGACACTCCAGGCCTGCGGGGCTCGGGACCCGCCGAAGTGAGGAACACACTAGGATAGAAGGTGAAGAGAAGCTTGGAGGTCTCTGTGATTAAATGGGTCGCATGCAAATTAGGTGCCAATCTTATATTACTATGAGCAGAATATATTTGAAACCGCCACTTAGCGCAGGATGGTAAATTGTGCCCCACCCTAACCCAGCTTCTTACCGGGCTGCGGAGCCCAGGGAAGGACCTCGCTTTCGCGCTCCCCTGTCTGAACCTCCTCGGCACAATCGCTCTCCGCCTTGGTACTCCCAGGCCCTAAGGGATCTCTTTCCGGGGGCTGTGGGGACAGAATGGCTATAAGGAACCCTCCCTCCTAGACAGCCTTGACCTCCCCCTTTGCCTGTCCCTCCTGTCAAAATCCACACTGTTATGAAAGGGTCTCCCAGAACCTGGCCTGGCCCTCCTAAAATAACTTAAGATCCCTGTGACTGCTCCGTATAACTTTTGTTTGCAGGTAAACTGAGTTGTGGAGTGCAACCCTACTGAAGTCCCCTAAAGACCCCCGACCACACCCGCGGTCCCGCCTTCTTACCCCCTCCTGCCCTGGTACGGCGCATGCGCGCAGCATGCCCCCCATGACCCCCAGTATCCGGTCAGTGCGACCAGGGGCGGGGCGGTCCGGGGGCTTCATGCTGGACCCCTACCCTGCTTCAAGTTTCAGGGCCGAGGGGGCACGGAAGCTGGGGGCTTTGAGGCCTGCGTGCGTCCGGGGAGTTGCTGCTGTCGAATCCGCCCCCCTGCCCGGCTCCGCCCCCACTCCCACCGCAGCCAAACTTCGCAAAAGGGGTAGGGTTGTTCCTTTCTCTACAAATATAGTTCAACAACAAACAAATCCTTCTTCATTCCGATTCCATCCAATCGAAGCGTGACCCTGTATTGCAGGGCCTACTGTTAGTTCCATCCCGTCTCCCAGGGTCCTCAGGAGGTAGAGGGACAGAGAAGGCGAGGATTTCCTCATCTCCCCCTTCCCCTTCTCAGCAGGTCTCCCTCCCCTATTCACCCCCACCCTGTCCAAGGAACAGAATACGGGTGTGGCATAGAGTTGCATATTTTACTTTATTTTTATTAAATTAAAAGCTACAGTCTGGCAGCGATTCCAGAACAGGGTAAGGAGGCTCCTTGTAGGGGGCAGAGAAGAGCGAGATACAGAGACTGACAGAGACAGAAACACAGGAAAGGAGAAGGTTAAGGTAGGAGAACTGTTATCTTAACACACAGCTGGCTTAGGGAGGTGGGGGGCTCATATCAGTCCCGGGTAGAAAGGTATATGGGGGCTGGAGTTCAAGAGACCCCCATCCTCCCCACCCAGGTCCTTTCTCAGCTTAGTCACTGGAGCACAGCACATACCAGGAAAAGCCAAGGGTGCTGGAAGGCCAGGGGAATAGGGAATATGTACAAGGGATGCAGGGAGGACAGCCTTGAAAACCAGCCTCTGCCAGAGGGGAGTGGCTCAAGGGGCACTGAAGCACTTGGCCAATGGGGGACAGGGGAAGGGATTGTCCCTTTCCCCTCTGAACTCCCTCCTCAGTCAAACAAGTCCCCTACTTGAGTGGCATGGGGACAGAGGGAGAGGAGAACAGAGGCTTCTGTTGGATCCTAATAGAGGAGGACAGCAGGGGCCTTGGCAAAGGGGATATCCGTCAGTCATCTGTGATACCCTTGGCTCTCAGCTCTTCTTGCACCCGAGTCAGGTAAGTGGGGTCTGGATACCCAAACCTAGGGGCAAAGAAAAACCAGGGTCAGGGTTAGCTGTTTGGGCTTGCTAGTTATGACCCACCCTCACTGGGGTGGAGGCCAAATTGAGATCCCTCCCCATTTCTCATGAGGAGGGACCTCCAAAGCCAAGATAACTCAGCCTGATTCTGTGGGTATTGTTGGCTAAACTGAACACATCAGGGCCAGTATGAAAAAAAAGACTGGGGTGGAAGTGATGGCTGAACAGTTAGGGGCGGTCTTCTCTAGTTAGGAGACTCCCAGAGGGAGGGGTAGATGGCTCTCTGGAAGTAGATATGGAGAGAAGGGAAAGAGCCAAGGGGAGGGAAATGAAGAGGATTCGCACAGCTGGGGTCCCCCTGTGCAGCTGGTCTTGTGGTGAATGTCGTTCCAGGTGATGACATTGGGTCTCCCTGTGGTCATGGACGTGCCAATAGTGAAGGTGAGACGCTGGTCAAATGCCTTTCGGAACAGGGTCAGCACCTTGTTGCCCTCAGGGCAGTCCGGGAGGTAGGCCACCCGTGTGGTGCCAGGATACCGGACTCCTGGGTTTGGGTGTTCAGCCTGAGAGGAAAACAAAGCAGAGTGGGCAGTGAGCAGCCGGCTATCCCAAAGCCAGGAGGCCAGTGGAGGGTCATCCGGCCTGCCTTTTGTTCATGCACTCCCAACAGATGGACAGTCTTCCAGGAAAAGGCCACTCAGTGACAAGTCTGTGTTTCTGGACATAATCCTTATTGTTAATCCCTCAAGTCTCAACTGAGCCAAAATGGATTCTCAGAGGTGATGGAGGTTAGCTGGTCCTCACTCTCCAGATAACTCAGCAGAAGTATGAAAACTAAGAATAATTTATCTTTCAGTATTCTGTTTTCACTTGAAAACCCCAATGCATCTGCCACTAAAGTCCCGTTTTTCTATCCCTCCTCCTTCAGAGCTTCCTTGTCCCTCTGTGAACCACAACTGGACTTTACTCTGTCTAGCAGGAAGACATTTACTTTCTAGTCTTTTCCAGCTTTTACTGTCTCCATCTAGAAGGGAGGAGCACTCCTAGCTCTGATAGAATGGTCAGATCCCTTCCTGCTCTGTCTACCTGAACCTGGGCCACCAACTCCACAGACTTTACCTCAGCTAAGAATGTCTCCTAGGTCCACACTTGTCAGGGTAGTAGTGTTCAAGCCTTCCTGTCATGCCTGGTTTAGGTTTTTGTGGTTGGTTGTTCCTTTTCCTTGTTTGGTTCAGTTTTCTTGAGGAGGACTGAACTCAGGCCCCGCATATCCTAGACATGTGTACTACCACTGAGCTATACACCAGCCCTCATACTTGATTTTTACATGTGCCTTGGGATCATGGGGCACATAGGTAAGCCTCAAGGGAACCTCCCAGCTTCAGAGCACCAAGTTGTAAGGCATCCTGGAAGAGCAAGAGTGTAACACATCTAACAGCACACTCCCCCATACCCAGTTTTTTTTTTAGGTGAAAGTGAGCTTGGTTGGAAAACCAAAGGGTAGGGAGGACTGTGGTCTTCTTACCCCCTGGACACCAGGTGGGAAGACGTACTGGATGACAATGGTGCCGTACTTCTCATAGCTGGGCAGTAGGAGGGTGGCGTCCTTGGAAACCAGCATCCGCCCATTCTGGGGCTGGTTGCCCACCAGCTGCCCATAGAAGCGGCCACACATGGGGCAGGCCTTTTTCACCTGCAGGGCCCTCGTGATACAGCCCTCGCAGAATGAGTGCCTGCACTTCTCCAATGTCTTGGCATTCTGGATCTCCCCCAGGCAGATGGGGCAGGTGCTCTCCTGCTCTTCAGCCTCCTCCCGAAGACGTGGAGGAAGTGGAGGGGGCAGGGGAGGAGGAGGAGGGGGGAGCCCTCGTGCCCCTGGGGGCAAGAGCGGGGCTGCTCGGAGAGGAGGTGGGCCTGGGCGGTGCAGCTCAGGGTGCTCCCCACCACCCCCCAAAGCCAGGCAGCCCATGAGCTCCCCCTGCCTCTGAGCTTTCTTCAGCTCTTTTTCTGCCTCTTTCAGCAGCCCCTTGAGAGCTTTCCTGGCCAGGTAGAGCCCATTGGGAGGGGCTGGGGGAGGACCCTGTGGGGAAAGCTGGAGAACATAGATGTCAGAAGTCTCGCCATCTATAAGGATGGACACTCGATGCTCCTCGCGAAGCCGGGCCAGCCGGGCTGGGGTCTCCTTGCTCAAGAAGTCCCACACAGGCTTGGAGACAGTCACTTTGTTCTTGCAGGTGCCTCCACAGGCTGCCATTCTGGACAGGACGAACGACACTGCCCCCAGGGTGAAAGGGACTCAGGGTGGGGGGGTCCCCATTGGACACATATAAGTGCCTCCTACTTCAGGTTCCTTCCAAACCCTGTATTACCTCAGTTGTCTCAAAGCCAACCCTCCACCCCCTTCTGCAAACTTATTTTCTATCTCCCCTTCTCTCCTAGAGTCCCAGCACTTGCTGGGGAGGAAGAAAGTTTCCGTACTTTATTATTATCTAAGCCAAGCATCAGCCTTGGTTCTTTCATTTCTCCCATGGTGGCAGCAACAACCTGCCCCTCCCCCTCTGGGTGAAAAATGGGTTCTTCAAAAAGGGAGGGAGACTTCCCACCCTCCTTTTTGCTCACTTTGATCCTGAAGAGCTTAGAATTGGCATGCAGGCTCACTCTCTCTTTCCCTGCTTGCTACTTGTAGATTGTGTGACCTGATGGGATGGGAAAGAAAAGAGAGAAACTGTTTCTCCCCTAGGCCAGCTCAGGAGACCTTTAAACGGGGAGGAACCCGGGGTAGGATACTGGGAATGGGCTTACTTAGGGTTCAGGTACCTGAAAAGCCCATAGAAGATGATGGTAGCAGAAATCTCTCTACTTCCACAGTCAGCTGACTGGAACTAGGGACAAGGAGGAAGGTAAAGTCAGGATAGAATTTCCTGTCAGCCCCAAACCAAAACTCTTCCACTTCTTCTCCCCAGCCTCTCTCCAACATGCCAACTTCTCTTTTTCCCCCAGTTCAGCAGCTCTCAAAAGAGCCTAGGTGCAGATAAGACAGGAAGAAAAAAAGTCTTCACAGATGAAGGTCGTTCTTACCACCTCCCTCAGATCACACTGACATAAATATTTCTTATGCTCCCCAATTCCTTTCCTTGCTCCACCTTCTCAAATAATTGAAGCCCTGTTGCTGACCTGGACCTTTCCTGGTGCGTTAACTCAGTCCTTCTCACTGAAGTCTGTTAGGGATGCCACAAAGTGGCAGCAGGCCTTGCAATAACAAAGTTCTCACTGTCACCTATTAAACCCAGCACCCGCAGAGCTGCCTGTCAGCTTCCAGGTCTGCATTTAGGAGGGGCGGGGCTCAAGCAGGGTCTCAACTGCAGGGGCCAGACGTTTTTCCTGAGTCCTGTCACATTCAGCTACAGGGCTGGACCCACAACACAAAGTGCAGCTCAGTTAGAAAGAGGGGCCGTTAGTGTGACCTCAATTTCTTGACTGATCCAAAAAGAAGCCGCTGTCCGTTTCTGCCTACATCATGGTCCCCCCTCAAAGCCAGATGGAACCCCAGAGTCAGCCAGTACGGTCTGTGCAGAGTGGAATGCCCCCTCCCCATTAGCGGGAACCTGGGATCTAGGTGTCCTAGCTCCAAGTACCGCTGGCACAGCACTGGGAGGCGGGGCCACAGTTTAGACTGGGTCTAAGATTCCTCAGGGGCAAACCAGGCCGGACGCTGGACCAGTCCCTCCCTCCAGGCGGCCGCAGCAGGGAAGGCCGGAAAGAGCAAGGGTCCCTGGGGGACATCCACAGGGGCCTATCCACCCTTCCCCCCACGACCTCCTCCCAGATCCGACCCGAAACCAACTCCCCGCATTCCCACTCGCGGAAGGCCCCGGAGCCCCGCCACCATGTGTCGGCCGATTGCGGCCCTCAGAACCCCCCAAATGGAGGCCAGGGCTGGGGGTGCCGGAAAGATGATCCGCCTGGTCCCGAGGGGCGCGTTCTCTGCTGGCGTGCTCGGGGAGACGAGGTGGGGGAGAGGGCAGAGGGGAGCGGGGGGCTTGCAAGAGTGCGAAGCCGGGGCTGAGGGGCGCGCGGTGGGTGTGGGGGCGCAGGCTCACCTACCTCCCGTCAGCGCCGCCATTGCCGGTCACATGACTGAGGCTGTTGCTGGGATGACGGTCCGGGCCTTAGCAACAAGGGAGGGGGGAGACCCCAAGAAGGTGGAAGGGGATGCCGGGGTGCAGACGGAGAGAAAGGGAAGGAGGGAAGGCAGCACCCCCTTCCCCTCCACCGGTGATCACCGTTTCCTTTGACCCCTTCTATCCGGGAGCCCCTGACCCTCCGCCCCAAAACAAAAATGGAGTCGCAGTTCCAGTCTTGAGAGGGTGGCGTCATGTAACTGAGGGTAGGATGTTAAATCCCTTAGAGAAGCCACCCTTCTGGCTTAGCCCTCCGGGAGGAGCCCTCTTCCTTTTCTTTCCCAGCCAGCCGCGTGGCAGCTTTGGGGAACTGGTAGTGGATGGGTGGATGAGCAGTGTCGGTGGGTATAAGTGGATTTGGAGGGGAGGGCAGTGTTTTGAAATCTTATGTTGGAAGAGCTTTAAAGGAACAACGTTGGATGGTAAGAGTTTTAGTAAAAAGGAAAGCATTGGTGCTACAAAATAAACAAACCCATGACTAAGCTACTTCAATCCCCTCCTTCAACTCTTGCCTCTTTCTAGATTGTTACCTCCTGTGACTCCCACAGCCTGTTTTCAGATAGGCACTGGTGACTCTGGATTTCCACAAATAGGGACACTGAGGTTGATACAGAATGGTAAGGGAATAGGTCTTAAAATGGATTGGAGTGGTGTGTACGGCTCAAATAGAGTTAAAATTTCTGATAGGAAGAAAATATGCTCTGCTCAGTTCTGCTTCCCACATCAGAGCAGTCTCCACCCCCGTCAGTCCAACTCACTTCCCTGGGGCCACATCAAGCCTGGTTTTTCCACCAGCCAGATCTCCTCAGTCAGGACATACTGAGTCTCCCAGACTGGCAACATCGTCATCCAGTCCTTTTCACTCCCCTCCCCCCTAACCCCAAACTGGGATGTACTGGTCACTCTCTCCTTTTTCCCATGACCCTGTGTATTCTTCCTGTCCGCTGAACAAACAGCTTTCCCAGGAAGCCTAAGGGAAGAGAGAAGTACTTCCCAAATAACTGGAAGTGGAGGTGGAGCACCAGAGGACCAAGGGAAGAGGGCCACATCATCCCACTCCTCCCTGATCACAATTAATGCTTAATTTCCAAAGTCGATGCTTTCTCTTCCCGTTTACCCCACACCACCTTCTAAGTTCACAGTCATCTTAGAATTCTCCCTCACTTGAAGGAGCCCAACATCTTGAAGACCAAATTCTTCAGTTGCTCTCTGTATCCCTTAAACACGATTCAATAAAGTTTTAGAAGAAAAAAAAAGGGTATTTAGTGAAAGAAACTGAATAATTTATTTTCTGCATTGTGATAATAGGAGTAATATTTTATTAATAAAACAAAAATGGTGAAAAACAGAAGCAATAAATGAAGACAACCATATTGCCCATGATACACAACTTCATGGTCAGAGAATCCAGTTCTAAAGAATGGCTGCTGGTGTCACAGAACTTTATTGCATTCAACAGGGGAAAGGTTGACAGTGGGAATAGAAGAGATCCAGCAGGCCCCTTCCAATAAGATATTACAGGGCTTCCAACAATTGGAGACTCCTCTTGCTATATCCTTTGGAGCAAAGGTAAAAGGGAGCTTCCCGGAGGGCCTTATAGCTTCTTGAGACTGACTGGTCAGGCCAGACACAGCACGTAGCTTTGCATTCCCCAAGTGTGGAAGCTTCCAGAGAATGGAACAACAAGAACGGATGTCTTAGCTCCCAAAGCTCTGAGGAGAGATGAGGACAATCTCATCTCCTTAGAGTCTTTTTTTTTTTTTT